CACTAATAAGTTCAGTGAATAATGAATCGGCAGAAAATAAAGATGCACGGTTTATTATCATTAATCCACAACGGACAGTTTTAAAGTCTTGTTTCAATAGACCGGGAAACACTACACAGGAGCAGTAAAGTAAAATAGGGAGAACACATTGTTTAACAAAAGAGAACAAAACTTGTTGGGTAGTGCAAAATTGTCTGCGCTTCCGGGGCTGAAAGGAGAGGCGTCGAAGTTCTCCCATTCAGTTCTGAATGTGTCGACCACCGAAGAGTATTATCGATAGTAACACCCAGATATTTGGCTGAGGTCACTCTAGACAAAAGGCTTCTATTAAGGATTACAGAGTCTGAAGGGAATGAAGAGCGAGAAGAACTAAAAGTGCACTCCAAGCACTTGGATATGCTAAGATTAATGCCGGACTGGTTTGAAAACTGTTCGATTCGAGGACAGGTTTTCAGTGAAGGGAGAAAACTCTGAAGCAGAAGAAACGGTCTGACATAAAGCGACATCAACAGCATACATTTGGATATGAACAGGATGTGAAACTGAAAGATCACTAATGAAAACAGAGAGAATATACGGAGAGAGGACAGTACTTTGAAGCACACCAGAATTATTGACTAGAGGACTTGAGATATTCCTGCCCAGCTTTGTGCACTGGGTTCTTTCAGTAAAATAATCAGAAAGCCATGAAAGCAGTTGTCCCAGGGGTGCCAAAAGATTCAAGCTTAAAAAGGAGGGATGACCGGGATACAGAATCAAAAGCAGACGAATAAACGAGAAAAGTACAACTAACAGATTTGGCATAATTGTTCAATGATTTGCTTATAAAGGGGACCAGAGTAGACACAGTATCCAAAGTGGATCTGTTGGGTTTATACACGAACTGAAGAGGATCATGGAAATGGTGAGAAATGACTGTAAGAGACTCAGGATGGCTCTCTCAGTCAACTTTAGAACTAAAGACGTCAATGCGATGGGATGAAAGCGTTTTGCAAAAGCGGTTGAGGATGAGATCTTTGGAACAGGTATCATGGTCACTGGTCGCCAGGAACCGGGGATCATCTGTGCAGAAAGAGACCCGTTGATGAGGGATGTCATCATACTAGTAAGAGGGGTTCCTCCAAACTTGAGAAATGCTGCAGAAAGACCATCAGGGCCCGCAGATGACGATGGTTTGAAGGAACGTAGAAGCTTAGAAATTTCATCTTTAGAAAGAGGGAACAGATCGGAATGGGAAGCCTCACGTGGAAAAGAGGGTACCTGGGTATCATTAGAGGGATAAAGAAATGCAGCGTTAAGGCTATTTACATCAACATCACTGTTCACGCTTTCCCTTTTTTGTCTGCAGAGAAGACGAATTCCTTGCCACAGAAACCTTGTGTTGTTTTCTTTTTTTGAAGGATTTGGTAAGCGAACGTCCTGTTTACACGTGTAATCTCAGCCTTAATCAAGTCAGAATAGTACTTTACAGCAGATGGATGATGAGATTTATAGGATAGTTCCTTTGGCATTCGTAGTGAGTTCAGACGAGGATATGCAATTTTACCGTTGCAAACAAACAGCGTTTCCAGGGGACAGCAAAAATGGAAGACCGATTTCCTCGTTTCTGTGAAAAGACTGACACAGTTAAGAAGTGATAAAGGAGAAGCAAACCAAGATTGGGCAACCGTTATGGAACGACAGAGAAGGGAAATGCAGGTTGATGAAAAGTTACGGAGATGAAACCTTATCTGGTTTGATTGTATGAATGGTCGATATGCAGAGCGAGAGTATAGTTTTGATCTTAAGAGGAGAATATAATGATCACTGGTAGCGACTGGGGCCATTAGTTTAAGCGAAAACAAAGTGGGATGGTTTATGATTACCCTGTCATGTACAGAGCTGCCTCTGGTAGGATAATGAGACAAATCGGACAATCCAAAAGAAAGCAGAGGGAATGTGTTTGCATGGTTAAAGTCACCAACAGCCATATGAAGATTCTGATCTAATATCGGAACCAAAGACGGGATGTAATGATCAAAGAAAGAAAGATATATCTGATTGGGAGTACGAAGGAGATATATACACATTAGTAATAATTGTAATTTCATATCGGAAAAATCTGGGATGACAACGAACGGATAAACAGTCAAGGGATCTTTTAGAATAGCTGAAAATCACTTCAAACTTGCCACATCAAGAAGTGTTGATGCACGTTGCCACACCACCTCCAGTTTTCTTCCTGCTATGTTGTCTATCCTGCCGGTAACAGACGAAACCCTCTATCTGCACGAGAGCATCCTCAACGTTTTGATTTAACCAGGTTTCTTGTATTCTTACGACACATGTGTTAGAATGTATGCGTGTGTTTAGTGAGGAAGTTAAATCCGAGATCTTTGGGAAGAGAGAGGAAACGTTGGTACTGGCCAATGACGGCACGGTCATCTTGGCAGAAGGGATGCTATTAAACGCACACTGTCATCCAGCACGCTTGCGCTTCTTGATCCAAGCACGATTGCCGGATTCTCCAAGCATATTGTTTGTGTGAGGCACAGAATTACCAGATTTCAATCTAAGCATATCCTGACGAGAGTAGGTATGGGTCCGGAACATGTTTGACATCGAGATAATCATCAAATCCAGTGAGACGACGAGCACACATGACGTAGCGCAGCCAATCGAAGGGCGCGCGGAGCCGCGTCATACTGGGCTCCATTCCTTATAATATATTTGGTAATGGTATAAAACAACGGAGATTTTATAATTTATGGAACGAATATCTACTTTTTGTTGTCGAAAAGTTTCACATAACCGCTCAATTAATTAATGTGCTCGGATGCTTGACGGTTTTCAATCTAATTTACTGAATGTCAGTTAAACGGATGACTATTTCAGGAAAACAATCTGTAGTCAGAAGCAATTGTGCTGACGGTGTTTACTGGGTGTGTTTATTTATAAGAAAGCCGGTGATAGTGGTCACGTGATGTAGGTCAACAGTAAATGGCTTCGAATGTTTTACCGTCCAATGTTGCCACCACAAGTCGAATGTCTCGTTTTATTACATCCTAGGCCTTAATTTTTCTGTTTTATTACGCAAGGGCTCACAACCACATGTTACATTACAATATGACAACTCAACCAGAAACTGAACTACCTAATAAAATTGGTTGTTCTAATGGAACTTCGTCGTTTTTGATTTTTTGTTCTTAATTAGCGTAATCGGATTCAGTTTTGATTTACTCGCATTCAACATCGTTGGCTATGTCGCGTACAGTGTGTACAATTTGGGGTTATACTGTATACCTCCTATACAAGTGAGTCACTTATGCAGTAAACTGTTTTTCCAAACAATGTCTAGTACGTAGCTCGTGAAAGCCGGGTTTTTCAAACCCTTATGGTAGTATTTTCTTACTGATGTATGAAATTTATACTACTCAAATGTCATTTGGTTTTTCTGTTTGAAAAGTGAGTATCATTATTTATTATAGTTAAACTTATAAGTGCAGATGGTGGATGTTTGGATTAGCCCATTCGGTTTTTCACAGGCACCAGTCACTGTTGATGATGTTCCAGGTGAGTTTCACTCCTTGGCAGATCGGTATTTCCCCACTGTGTGTTTGCACTAAAATGCAAATAAAAATAAGTGAGTTATAATAACAAAAACGGTTAACCATAACCTTTTGTATGTACAGAAATTTTCCTGTAGACAATGCTGCACATCATTATTGTCTATTCGATGGGGTAAATTAGATTTTGCATACAACCAGTTTCGTTTAACCATTTCATGAGAGCAAGAAGAAGCGTCATGATCACAGGATGTGTTGAATTCTCAACTATTTCGTGGTAATCTCATCAGCTGTGTACATACATTCGGATCACGTTTGATTAAAAGAGTGACATGAAAACAAGATAAATAAAAACGGGCAATGTTCGATTTTCGCTATCTACACCGCATTGCATGAATGGTGGGGCAACCGGACGAGCACTGCTGAGCTTGGGCACACAGTTTTAGGTAATCGCGGTCGTCCACTGGAGGAAGTGATCGATCTCCGTAGATTACGCTGGTTCAGACATGTGTTGCGCACGTCATCACATAGATTGTCATAGCGCGCGTCTTTGCCTGGACAGTTAGTAGTGGAAAAAAGCCAAGGGTGATCAAACTGACACTGGTGGTATAGAAACCCTGACCGGTAGACTCCGTCATATGGGTCGCGTTCGGTTTCCTGGATGAAGATCTCTAGGTCATAGTAACCGGTAGTTAGAGACACTGAGTGTCGCAAACATTAGCGCTCGTGCATCTACTCACCACCCTTGCGACCTTGGTCCATATGAATTCTCTACCTTCTCTTTGACCCTGCTCTCAACATTCCAATCTTCTGTTCTGTTATCCAAATGAACAGTTTGAAGACATCAGCCAAAATCGCCGCACAATGACGCATGGTTATTGGTTGTAAAAAGTGAACGGAACGAATGTTTGCTGCGAATAAACAAAAGATAAACTACCCGCCGTCGTATTACTATTTACTGCACAAAGTTATAGTCATCTGCTTATCAACATGGATAAGTCTGGAACAGGAGCAGTCAGAAGTAAATACTTCATTATTTCAGCATGGACAAATTTTGCTGTTCCACATCATTCTGCTAGTGCTTCAATAAACAGACGAAATTTTCTCAGTATATCAATGAGTAAGGGTTTTTATTCACAACCGTGATAAAACGATAGAATGAAAGCTCCGCGCACTACTGTTATAAATACTATTGTTTCTTTTGCGGTTATTAAGAACTTGTCTCATTGCCAAGCCTGAACAGAGGTTTATTGTGAGGTCAGAGATTATCTTTTTAGGCTAACTGATTTCCAAAGCGATATCCTGGATGAAAAATACAAGGAGATTCAAAATTGTGTGCGGAAAACAAAGTAACCTTTTCCCCCCCAAAGCCGATTGCTTTTTACAATTTTATTTCAACTCATGGTTACCTGTGTTTGTTTGAAGTGTTGCTGGAACTCTTATTGCATTATTTTGATGCCAATTGTTTGTCCATTCAGTCGACTTACACTGGAGGATCTGGAGGACAGCTGGGATCGAGGTATTCCACGAATAAATACTCTGTTTCAAAAAGACCGTCATACACTCGCATACGATAAAGGATGGCGCGTGCGAACGGAGTTCAAACAGTACCAAGTGCTGAAACAGAATCCATTTTGGTGGACACATCAGCGACACGATGGAAAGTTGTGGAACTTAAACAATTATCGTACAGATATGATTCAAGCCTTGGGCGGCGTCGAAGGCATTCTGGAACATACTTTGTTCAAGGGTACCTACTTCCCCACTTGGGAAGGTTTGTTCTGGTAAGCTTATTTCGAAATGAGCAGTTAAATAGTGACTGTTTACCAGTTAACATACCCACCAAAATATTTCAGGCTGTAACCGTTCTATTATTTAACGAGGTAGGCTCAGTCGTCATCACCATTGTACAGCGTAATACACTAAAGCAAACTTCACCGATCGATGCCACACACATAATGAATACAAGGTAAGTGAGAATGTGTAAGGAAAGTAGGGATTAGACCTATTTGTAGTGACGGGAAAAGAAAGCTATCACCTATGGGGGAAAACAGAGTACACAGTTCAACTGCGCATACACACTATCCCAAGCATTCTGAACTAATAAAAGGTGACAACAGGATCGCCACTGCTGTCGATTTGCTGCCACGACCTTCAGTGTCTCCAACCATGCGGTTTCTGAGTCTTTTGGACCCCTCGAGACGAGATGCACTTTCTTTACCTAATCGCTCTGTGCATTTCTTCATGCCTCGTCCCCATGTGATTGTTTCCAGTCTGGGGCTGCCACCCGGTGCGGTAAGCGACCGATAGACAAACACAAAACGTGTCCTGACGGACGGAGCCTATTGAGTTGAATTCGATGTGCTAACGAATTTGTGAATGATGCATTCTCAAACACTCGGCGATTAACTCCTAGGTTACTAACCCATTCACTATATCCTAGTTGCGACAGATGTCTTCTACCCGCGAATTCAAGGCCTCACAATCGTAAAGCAGAACTGATCTTACAGTGGCGCAGTATACCCAACTTCAACTTTGGTGAAACGTCGCATCGCTACACGTGTTTTCGAGCTCCCTAACTCGTAGTTTAGCGCGGGTTGAACGGAGTGGGCATGTAAGCAACTCTGAGGTAAGCCGTCGCGTATTTGGTGATAATTCGGTGGAAAATTTGCTGTCCCATTGAATTAAGATTAATCAGCTTCGCTGGTTAGTACATGCGTTGCGCATGCCAAGCTATCGCCTACCGCACCGCGCCTTATTCGCAATTTCGGATCGAATTTGGAAAAAACGACGTGGAGTTTGACAGATGATGTGAAAGCGAGGCATTAGGAAACGCACCGATGGATGAGGTAAAATAGGTCTCTACCGTCTTCCAGGTTGGGGTCTATAGCTAGCTCGCTGGAGATAGTGAAAGATATAACAACCAACCGACAACAATG